TATAATATTAAAAAAAATGAAGAAAAATTAATTTTTCAATAATTTGTTTAAACAATAATTTTTTATTGTTAAAAAAAACATGCTAGGAACATCATGGAATCTCCTAGAAAAATTATTTTCTCAAAATTTGAACCTTCCTTAATAAAGTGGTTTAATTTTTTAAGAAGTGCTTTTTGATGTTTTTGTGTGTTACGCTAATTAAGCAGCGCCTATACATTTATTAATTATATACGTATATATTATTATTATAAACAGTTTAATAACATATTTTTAACTTTTTTATAAACATTATTTTCCTTTGTTAAAAAATAAATAATAAATAAATAATGTTTATAAAAAAGTTAAAAATATATTGTTAAACTGTTTATAATAATAATAATATATGTATTATATAATTAATTATATATTAGGGGCGAGCAGTAAAGGTCATACCGTCTTTTAAAATACACTGTTATAGGCGCTGCTTAGTTATCGTAACAAACAAAAACTCGTAGCATGTCTTTTTACCAATAAAAATTATTGTTTAAACAAATTATTGAAAAATTAATTTTTTTTCTTTTTTTTTGTAATATTATAAAAAATTGACATTTTCTCTATAATTTTGAATAAATAACTTTTTCTTGTAGAATCAATAGTTTTCGAAATAAAAATTCTCGAAAAAAGTCATTTTTTTCAAATTCCGAATTTTCAAATCTTGCAAAAAATTTATTTTTTGCAAAACTGTTTAGCACAGTTATTTAGTACCCCAAGTGCTACAAAATTACATAGTTTAAGAAAAATCAGTGATCCACCATTTGCTTTTCCTATGGAACTGCCCGTTTACAATAATTATCTATAACAATCGACTAGTTGTAAATACGACATCTAGTAACTTTTACTATAGTTTCAATTACCCCAATTGGTAAATACTGCGGTTTTGGTAACAGTTATAACAATTATGAATTGTAAGTACTGCTAGTTGTGACAACTTTAAGTTGTAATAATTGTTACTTATGGTTTGTAACAGTTGAAACAATTATATATGGTAACAACTGTTACTTGTGACTACCAACTGTTGGAACAATCATAATTTGTAACAACTGCTAGTTGTAACCACCATAAATTGTGACTTTCAAGAGATACAACAACCATTAATTTTAAAACTGATAATTGTGATTACCAACAATTATTACATTCGTAATTGGTAATTATTACTAATTATTTGGTAACTACCAATAGATATTGTAACAACTTTTAATTGGAATTGTAACCAACAGCTGTAACCAACTGTATATTGTATCAATTTACCATTATAACTACCAACAATTGTACCAATATTATTACAGCTGTAAATTGTGTAACTACCATAAAATAAAAACTAATATTGACCTAAAAATATTGTAACTTATAATAGATAGCAATTCCTTAATAAAAATAATCAATAACTTTTATTTAAATATTTTTTCTGTGATCTTGAACCATTAATAAAAGAAGAAAACCGTTAAAAAACAATAAAGGAAAATTAATATCTTCAATCTTTTTCAATTTTAACTCATGACTGTTAATTGTCAGTGACTGTGTCGGGGTTAAATAACCTTTAAAAATTGCAGAATTCATTATCATAGCTCGAGCATTAACGGAACATAGATAAAACTTGTAATAAAGAATAAGGAGAGAGAGAGAGAGAGGGGGGGGAGGGAAAAACACGACAAGCAATAAAAACCAAATAAAGAATGCATTCCAACCACGCGGTAAAATCTCGCTTCTTTTATTTAAAGAAAATGATAACAACAGCATCAAAACAGAAGTTAAAAGTTAATGTCTGTTTACTCTTAAATTAAGAAAAGTGATGAGAGCTTGTCTGTTACTAATAGCGTTTTATACCTCTTTTCTCATCTTCTTTTAACCTGTGCCACTTCAGTCAGGCGAAAGATGAAATGCTTGTTACCTGTTGTTACTGACATTAGTTAAACTCTTCAAGTGTTGCTTCTTAGTCATTTGTTTTAGCGATAATACAAGTGGAAAAATAATTTGCGTGGAAGAATTCATTATTATTTGCTAGAGAGAGAGAGAGAGAGAGAGAGAGAGAGAGAGAGAGAGAATGGTGTACACTAAGGAGCATTATGGTGCGAGAGAACATGTTTCCTAGCGTGACTAAAAGTACTTTTTCATAATACTATTTCTCTTTTTTTCTCTCTCTCTCTCTCTCTCTCTCTCCTTCAAAATAAATGTGAAGAAGGCAAAGACTTTTTAACTCCTCCTTTCTTGACTTATTAAAAAAGAAAAAATGCCTTTTTTCTTCTCAAATAAAATTCATATAGTCACGGGTTCAACAAAATGAATTTATCTCTCTAATTATTTTCAATTGACCCAATGGGAAATTTACAACTGGCGTAGTACTGCGCCAGCACTGGCAGCACTGGCGGCAAGGCTGAGAGCCAGCACTGGCATGGCACTGGGATGATAACGCCGTCTGGCGCTGCCGAAGTACTGCCTGTCAGTGCTGCCAGACAGCGCTGGCGCAGCACTGGACCAGTGCTGGCTGAGAATATTGCCGCAATAAATGCCGTATTGTTATTAATTAGTCGTAAATTAATAATTATAAATAATTTAACAACAAAATAGTAAATAATATTAATAAATAGTTATTATTCATAAAATATTTCTCTTCTTAAAGAAATTGTATTAAAGATGGAGACTAACAATGGATATAGTAAATAAAGTAGAAAAAAATTGTTTATAACATTTAAAAATTAAATAATAAACAATTACAGTAAGTGTGCATTAGATTTTCATATTTTAGTACCTAACGATTGGAATCTAGAAATATCGCAAACCTATGAAAATAAACAAAATTGCTGACGAGGGGAATCGAACCTACGACCTACGGACTAACAGACTAACGCTCTAACCACTATGCTAACGACACATGTGTACAGTAAAGTATTAATATCTCAGTATCATTCAGACATACAATTATTGAGTCAAAGATGAGAAAAAATAGGGATACGTTAGAAATAATAAATTGAAATAAAATAAATTAAACTAAATTTTTTATAATTAAATTAAATTACTTTACTTATTGCATTTAACATTTTACGTAATTCTTAAATTACGTGGTAATTTTTTAATAATTTTTTATTCATAGTAAGAAGTATAATAGTATTTTAATAGGAACCAAATTATTATTGAGATTAAAGTTTAAATTTTGTTTATAATTTTAATTAGTTTAAATAATTTATTATTTACAAAATTAGACAATTGTGTTAAATTGTTATTATTAAATTTAATAAGAATAAAAAATGAACAACTGAAAAGTAAAATATTAATTTTTTTCAATAAATTTATATTTATAAACATTCATAAACTTTCTTTATAATTTTTTTCAAGTTTATGTCAAAAAAGCAATGTTGGCAAAGAGCGTTGTGAACAATTTTTCTATACTCAGCCAGCACTTGCCGCCGTGGCTTGTCCAAGCTTTGGCGAAACAAAAATTCTGTACTGCGCCAGCACTAATTGTCGAGGCTCGGCTAGACTACGCCGAACAATCGTCTGAGTACTAAGCTAGTGGTGAACATCGGCACTACACTGGCATTTCCCATTGGGTGATAAAGGACTAAACTTTACAGAACAATTTTTTAACTCTCTTTGAATTTAATTTAATAAAAACTTATTATAAAGTAAATGTATATAAACTACAATTTATAAAATAAAGCACAAAATTACAGATTGAAGAAACCAAACATAAGAAATTAATTCATTGGTATAATTTATATAATTTTTCTCATATTTTGATTACTTAATTATGGGTAATTCTTGTAGTTCTTGTAATTTCCTGTGATCTTTGAGTCAATGTCAATGTTCCGATATATTTAATCGACCGTTTAGTAAAAGTTAAGACTTGGAACTTCTGTTCTTAACAAGACATAAAAAAAAGATCATAAATTCTCTATTACGATTCCAACTCGACGTTCATATAAACGTTTAAAACTTAATTAAAGTTAAAAAAAAATTAATTCAACTTGACTAAACTTCATCTCTTTTTTAAAGAAATTTTCATTGAAATTAGCGACTTTCACATGAAAAAGAATTTATCATTTTTGTGATTTTAATTGCAATCTCAGAAAAAATTAAAAACTGTTAATATTAAAACAATTAAAACATTTAAACAAGTAAAACTAATATTAAAATAATTAAAACTATCAACTTGAAAAAGCGAATTCTGTTCTGACAATTTTGAGAAATGAAATATAATTTACGAAATTTAGAATTACTTTATTTTTATAATAATTTAGAAATTAATAAATAAATTTTAATAACAAACACCCTAAAATAAATAATCTATAGGGGAACGTAGTCAGGGTTGGACCATCTTTTGAATTTTGTTTCTAACTTTTTAAAAAATATATATTTAGGCGATTGAGTTATATTTTTTGAAATATCTACAAAAGAGGGCCATTTTTGCCGAACATTGTAAATTGATTATTAACTAATACGAAGAAGCTATTCTGATAGATAAAAAATTGACGTTTTCAATTAAATAATTATAATTGATGATTAGTAATTAATTACTTAATTTATTTCTCTTTCATTCCAATGTTTTTGACATCAAAACCTCAAAAAAAATTTTTTGTTTTATAATTAACCACCGATAAGGAAAAAAATATTCTAGACTGAAGTGGAATATTTTTGTTTTAAGAGGATAAATTAAATGGATTTTTCTTGTAAAATTACTTTTTTCTAGATGTAGATAAATGAACTATTTTTGAAATGGAAAAAATTATTTAATTCTAAATAAATAAATAAATAAATAAAAACGAAAAAAAAAAAATAAATTAAGAAAATAAAAGAAACTGGACTGTTTAAATAATACTAATTTACTAATTTTTCCCTGAAAATAAAAAAATTTTTTAAAGCATTATTTACATTGGAAACTTTTGATTTAAAATGATAAATTGTATTATAATGAGAAGTGACAGGTTTACATTGTAAAAGGGTAAATAAATAAAAGTCATTTGACATTCGTTAGAAAATGAATTTATTTCTCTGTACCATATGTTCTATGTACAACTAACGGTACTTGATGAGTACGATGATGTTTGACGGGACAGAAACTTTATAATAGTTTAAAAAAAAACATTATGTTTAATATCGTTTGTAAAAATAGTCGTTAAATTACTTATAGCGTTTTTATATAGTAAAACTAAGCTCGTAAAAATGAAAAGATGAAAGTGAAAAAAAATGCGAATAGTATGTGATGAGTAAGAAAAGAGAAAGAAGTAAGGGAGGGAGAAAATTAAAACATACATAAGGGAACATAGAAACAGTAAAAATAAATAAGCAATGTCGTTGCGGTGATTGTGAGAAGTAGTTTTTTTTCATGTATATATAAGCTCTGTACAATTGTGTCATTATAAATATGTAGAATTTTTCATGGAAAAATGCTTTTGCAAATTTAATATAAAAAGAATGAAAAATGTCATGATGTTTACGATTGTCAAAAAAAAGTACAGAGCAAACTTATACACTTTCGAGCTTGTATACAAAAAGACAGGCATTCAAGACTCGGGGACAAGCTTCGACGTCTTACACTCAACAGACATTCCGAAAAAAAGAAAAAAAATTGAAGAAATCAACAATCGTACATTCTAGAAAGAAACAGTTATTCTCGTATTAAAAATAGACGTCTCAAAAAATACAATTTTTTTTCATAAGGTGTATTAGCACTTGTCCACGAGCCTCCTTAAAATTATTCATCGTAGTCCCATTAATTACGTTTACTTAATATTTTACTGATAAGGAATAATCTGTTTTTCGTTATACATATACGCATTAAGATATTATTTTATAGTTATGATTGGATCTTACATTCATATATATTAGCAATTTACATAGAGTTGTATTTTTTATATTCAACTCGATGAAAAGTGCGTCAGCTATTACCACTAAGAAAAAAAAATTCACAAAAATGTAAGAAAAATTGTCCTTTTTTTTAATTTTTGCCAATTTTCTTCGAGTTTAAAAATAAAGGAAATTTTTCTCACGTTTTTAATTTTTGTGCGCGCATTTCTTTTTTTAATATAAAAGTACGGGTATGCGCTCATACAAAGAAAAAAATACTACCACTTTTTTTTTCTTAATAAAATAAATTGCCAAACTTGCGTAATTGGTTCTACCCTCTCACCACAAGCAAGGTTGATTATACTACGTCAGCTTAGTTAGCGAAATTATTAACTTTATTCGTAGATAACAATCATAATTAAGTCATATTGCAAAATGCAACTTACTATATATATATATATTTATATATATAGTACGTAGGCACCTTTTGTGTTGACACGTAGGAACGTAACTACAAGGGCGAAAAAAAGAGAGCACACATTTGAAATTTATTTTGAAATTTTCTGCCCCAGCGTTCCTGCGAAATTTTCGAGTTTATAAACTCTAAAATCGCGCTACAAAAAAAATTATTATTATTATTATTATTATTATTTAAACTACGCTCACCGGATATTAAAATTAGCGTCAATGTTAATACTTAATACTGTGTTGACAATGAAACGTATTTCATATTCAAACACTAGGAGAGAAAAAAAATTTTAAAAAAACTATGCTTGCAAAAAACCACATCAAGACAAAAAAACAAAATTTTGAAATTCTGTTTTGACGAGTTTTTTATTTCTAAAAAAAAATAAACGATTCGATTTCGCAAAAAAAAATCAAGAATTGTTGTTCAATTTTGCTGAAATCTAGAGTCCTCCAAATTATATGCTTAATTGAATTTGATTTATCTAAAATTGCACGTAACCCGTACTTCTAACCTAATTTACTAATAACGTCGGTAGGCACTCTATTCGAATCCTAGATTACTTTTTTCTTCTTTTTCGTTACTGCTGCGCTTGTTAACTTAGTTCTAAAACGAACGTCATCCCAATTAAAATTCAATTTCGTCCATTATAACAAATCAGTCGTGTAGGATTTTCTCTCACTTTCACTAGAATGCCTTTTTCTTTTTAAATTAAAAAAAAAATAAAAAAATAAATTAATCGATAAAAATTTCAATTGAAAAGGGGATTTTTCAGAATTTTGAAAATTTTATCAATTTTGTAAATAATTATCAGTTTAGAATTTTTTTTATTCTAAATTAAATTAAATTTTTATTCTAAATTAAGTAAACTTTTATACTTTTAAAAATTAAATTAAGATTCGATCCCACTTAGAAAGATTCTTTGTCAATTTCGATAATAATGGCCTTTTGAATTCCATCTAATTTCGGATAGAATTCTGATTGATTTTAAGCTGGATTCCATTTGGAAAGATTTACGGGTAATTCATATAATAAGTGCCTTCTGAATTTCATCGAATTTTCTGTAGAATTTTGATTGGAAGCTGAATTTTCTCTCGAATTCCATTTGAAATTGAAAACTTTATTAAAAATCCGTTAGAAATAGAAATTAAATATTTTGGAATTCTTCTGGAATTTATTTGAATCTCAATGAAGATTCTTGAAATCTCAATAGAATCTCTTAAAATACAAGTGGAATTTGGGAATTGTGGTGGAATTGCTTAAAATTCGGATGAAATCGGATTGAAATTCTAAAGAAATTCTAATAGAATTTATCAAATTTCCGATGGAATTTAAAAATTTCTTCAGAATGTTTTGAAATTCTGATAGAGTCTCTTAATATTCCAGTAGAAGATTAAGTGATTAATTAATTAATTATTTCTTAATTACAATTATAATAAATAATAATTAATTAATTAAATTCCAATGGAATTTCTTAGATTCCCGATGTAATCTTTAAGGCTCTTAATGCAATAATAGAATTCTAAAGGAATCTCTTAGAATTCTTAGTAGAAAATTAACATTTCAATGGAATTTCTTGAATTCTCTTTGAAATAATTTAAAATCTCGATGGAACTTTAGAATCTTAAAGGAATTTCAAAATTTCGATGGAATCTTTTGAAATTTCTATGTAATATTTCGGGATTACAAAGAAATTTTAATATCCCAATGGAATTTCTGGAAACTCCGATTAAATCTCTTAAAAATTCTAACAGAATCTTAAAATTCTAATGGAATGTCTTGTATTTCCGATAGAATCATTTGGAATCCCAATGGGATTTTAAAATAAAATACCAATGGAATTTCTTGGATTCTAGATTGAATATCTTTGAATTTTAACGGAATCTTAGAATGCAAATGGAATTTCTTGAATTCTTGTAAAAGTTATTTGGATCCCAACAGAAACTTGGTATTCATATAACATCCTTTGGAGTCCCAAAAGAATTTTAATATTCCAATGTAATTTCATAATTTTCTGTTGGAATTTCTTGGAATACCAAAGGAATCTTAGAATTTTTATTGAATCTTCAAACCCCAATATAATCTTAGAAAGTAAATGGAATTTCTTTGATTTCTGTTGATATTTTTGTGAACTCGAATAAAATCTGTCAATTTTTCAAATTTCCTGATGGAATTCTCAATGGATTAATGGGATCTTGGAATTTTTATAGAATCTCTGGAGACACTTTCCGAATCCTCATTCCAAGTGGGACACAAAACAAGTAACGTCTAATGCAAAAGAATTTCATAATAATCACTGCAATAAAAAACCCCCGATGTTATTATCATCATCACCAATAAAACCAGTTATTCGAAATCATTTCAAACAATTAGTGATCCACTTTAACACGATCGAAAATAGGATTTAGTGATGAAAGAGTGAGAGAACCGAAAGCAAAATGTATTGAGAAGGAAAAAAAATGAAGTTAATTACTATATAATAAATTTGTTTGCGTGCTCTTGGAAAGAGTATGGAGAGAAATGAGAAAATCTTCGTTTGATTAGAGACGATAAATGATTTGACCTAAAAATTGTATGGCTATAAAAAAATTTTTTTCGCATGACATTTCTCGCTCTACTCTTTTGTTTGTTGTTTTTTTTGAAGATGCTATGTAGTATCCACGCTAGAAACGCTGGTTCAGATTGATAAGGTCACGTGCCGCAAATGTAAATTAACATGCCCAGTATAGAGGACGAGACGTGGCTAAGGTTAAGTCGAAGGGGATCCCGAGGTTACGCGGACCGTATGGTGAGATAACTATCGTCGATGTGAGCCAACAGTATAACCCCAACCTTACCCCCACGTCATCAAATCCCAGGGTTCACCAAAGCTTAGCTTAGAACCGAGACACCACAAGAGGTAATTAACCTTATGCCAACCCCTTTGGTGCAAGCATCCCCCGAAACTGAACTCTCCCCCCTCCCAATGCCACGTCGTGGTCCTGATATCCCACTTGGAGCATCTGCATAATCACGCTTGATTCCCAATGCTAATTAGAATCCGCGCTACGTAGCAAATACATGTCGACCTCCATCACCTCTCTGTTGCCGTGCCACGCCTCTCCTTGGCAAAGTCCAGAAAAAAACTCGCTTTCGCACGAGACCACAATTCTAAGCGGATTCCCAGTAATTTATTGTTACCGGAGCGAAGGGGGGAAGTTCTTTTCTCGTTTCGAATTCGACTTGGAAAATTCGACTCCAAGAGAGAGAGTGTCGCGTATTTTTGCGATTCAACTTAAACAAAAAATATATGAAGAGCAGCAGATGATAGAAGAGAGCGTAAAAATTCCCGATGGAATAGTTCGATATGAGCATCAAACTGCCAAAATCCCGTGAATATTTATTTTTATTGGTCGAGATTGAAAATATATTTTTTGTGTTTTAAAAATATATTCTTGTTTTAAATATATTTAAATTATTTAAAATAATTTATTTTAAATATATTTTTGTTTTAAAAATATTTTTTTCTGTATTGAAAATATATTTTTTTGGGGGGTGGCAGGAGTTTTCTAATTTTTTTCCTTTAAAAGCGTCGCGAGTAGCCGGCGTCGTATAATTTGCAGAGACTGTCAGCGCGACCTGAATGCATACCGGGCACGGAAACAGAAACCGAAAGTGCTTCTTGATGTTTTAAAATTTGCCGCCTGCGTTGCCAGGTGAATGTCCACGCTGCAATGATGGCAATTTGTGCGACTAGGAATACAGTTCCGGCTACAATTGCTTCGCCCAAATTAATGCAACTTCCCATAAAGCCACTTGTGATGTCATCATCACTTTCGATGAAATTACTGTCGCGCGTTGAATTCAAGTTTGATGATCTACCATCGCGTTCGAAGCCAAATTTATCGGTGATTTGAATTGATTGAACTAGGAGAAGATCTTCGCGTGCTTCTGATGATGATGTTGAACGACGACGACGACGACCGTAGGATATTACTGATCGTACACTCCCAGTGGATTCTTCGGCGTCACATTGAACTGGTTCGCAAGTTGGCATGCATGGAGTGACCAATGCGCGGAATTGCACCATCTCTGAACTTGGGAATTTGAAGGCGTCAAAGTGCGAGAGGAGAGTCTGAAACAAAAAAAAACGTTTTCATTGTTAAATTTAGATTGTTCAGATATAATCGTTTAATTATAATTAAAAAATCCATAAAGGCGGATTTAATAAGGCGAACAATTTTTTAAAAGTTGACGTATACGTCAATTAAACTCTGGGACTTTTGGGGTCACTCACACTGAGAAAAGTGGATATTAAAAATCTTAATATACTACTATACTACACTGAACAAAATATATTTATGGTACTGCCAAAAATATGGCAAATTCTCACATATTATATTGGTGGATATGGAACAGCCATACGCAGTGTAGGACAGCCATATGTATGTGAGAGACATAGTAATATGTATGTGAAGAACACCAATACTGTATTTTAAGAACAGCAATACGAGTATGACAAAATCGACAATATCATTTTTTTCAGTGTAGATATTAAGAAAAGATACTAATGCATATCATCTAGATGTTATGGTTTAATATCTCAGATGTTAAAAAGTATAATCTGTAAATGTGAGGTTATGTTTGAACAAGTATTTTTCCAATATATGTAGATATTGGCTGTTTTCGGCACTCGCCCCGAGTTAACTCCGTGTTAATAGTGATTGGTTAGACCAACAGAATGTTTTTGATGATTGGATAATATTTAACTCGGGGTTAACCCTGGGTGAGTGCCGAAAACAGCCATTAAATTTGAAAATGTAAGATGTTTACATATTTCACTGTCACAGATATTGACCATTAATATCTAGATAATAAAGCTTAATATCCATTTTTCTCAGTGCAATCCAAATTGAATATTGGGTCGTTATATTGAAACCCCAATTTTGTAATCAAATTTCTATTCAGCACTTATAAAAAGCCCTGAATAATAAGTTTCAGGCCAATCTGTCTCCAGTTTCTAAAAGAATGTAAATTCTAAATTGAATTCTATTTCTGGTTCAGTTTATTTTTAAGTAGAAATAAATTTAAATTTTATAAATTCATTCCCACTGAAAATCAATAAAATTCCTAAGAAATCAATAAAAATTAGGTCTTATATTTTGTTCAAATATTGTATATTTCTTGTACATCTTTTGCAACAGACGCAATTTATCGTATACAGCAACGATAACCAGTGTGATTTCTCTTTTTATTTCGAGTATTTTCTCTTGTCAATACAATCATAAATGTCAGGCGAGTTTCTCAACAAGAGTCATTGAACCAAAAGAAGTAAGTATTAATCCGTGTTATTAGATTTTTCCCCGCTAATGTGGAAAATTGGACTTTCCACTCGAGAAGCCGAGCTTGAGTATACCCCCAGGAGTCATTCGATTAGAAACGCATATTCGATATATTGAAAAGCAAAGAAAAAAATATCTTGAATTTGCACCGCCTAGAAAACGAATTCAAATTGAATCGTTTATTACAAAATATTAATAAAACTCATCATAAATAAAAATTTAACTGACAACGATTTTAAGATAATTTTAATATTTTCTAGTTCAGTTTAGTCTCTTGACAGTCCTTGCCTCATGTACCACCTTTGTCACAAAAAATTAATGTAATTCGATTTGAGTATCAGTGGTCTTGTATTTATTGAATATCATAGGGTTTATACTCTCTAAATTTGAATCAGCGAAAAGTCGCTGATTCACCAGCCCAGAGTATGCAGCTGATTCAATCAGCGTATATACGCTGGAAAATCAGTGCATATACGCTGTTTCATCAGTGTATATACGCTATTTCATCAGCTGCATACTCTGGGCTGGTGAATCAGCGACTTTTCGCTGATTCAAATTTAGAGAGTAGAGTCGTTGATTTCGAGGTTTGTATTAGATTTACAATATTCAAAATGGTGGATCCAATATGACGATCAAAAATATTAAAGCTCACCGCATTCACTTGTAACTTTTTACTTGCAAGTTTTTAATAATTGTTAACTGAGAATTTCTCTCTTTTTCGAACCTGCAGTTATGAATTTAACACCTCCAAGTAATTAGTTTTTATTGAAAAGCATGAATTTTAAAAATTTTATTATATATTGAGCAGCTATGTATATTAGGGTGTCCGTTATTTCCCAAGTTAGCTATTTTCATTTGGGTATCGTCAAAATCGTTTCTTTTTGACCTAAAAACAATTCTAGAAACTAGAAAAAAATTTTACGATGCCGTTTAACCCTGCCTAAATAACAATACTTTTCCTATTTAATTAACATGGGATTTTTGCACTTTTTAGAAAATAATTTTTATTTCGTTTTTAATACTCTTTGACTAACCAACAATGCTTGATTTTGCTTCTATTATGATTCCTTTAGACAGTGAAATTTTCATATTATCGCGAAAAATTTATTACACAAGTTTTAAAAAGGTCAATTTCATTTTTATTGATTTTTCTGATTATTTTGCTAAATCTACTTAATAATTCATTTTTATTCGGTATTTCATTGAAAGTTTCTTGTTTTATGCATCCAATTGGACCATAACAATAATTTCAATTCACAAACTATCCAAGAATCACACAGTAGACTAAATCCATTTCAAATCAGGCAGGTCGACTAACTTTATGTTATAGAAAAAAAATTGTTTTGCTTGTCATTTTTTTTCTTTTAAGTATAATTTAATTTTCTTTCTTGGGTTTTGTAGATGGTCTTGTCCTCTTCACAATCCAGTTTGAAATTTGAAAAAATATTTAAAATTATAAAAAAAGGGGATGATTTTCTGAAAATAAATAAGATCAATTTTTTCAAAAACACCACCTTTTTTGTTATCAAATTTTTACAACAAATTCTTAAAATAATAATGAACACTTCCTATGAATTTCAATCGGGCTAAACCATTCTGTCAATCAAGAGAATTTGTTTTTAAATATTTATTTTTGCAAATTTCCAAATTGTTAACTTGCATTTTTAAAAACAAATAAATCGTTATAACATTGTTGACGTAAACGTTAACAATTTGAAAATTTTTCAAAAAAAAATCTCCTGATTGACAGAATGGTTTAGCCTGCTTGAAATTCATAGGAAATGTTCATAATTATTTTAAGAATTTGTAGTAAAAATTTGATAACAAAACTGCCGTCCAAAAGAAAAAGATACATAAGCGACATTACCATCAATCCGAGAAAATCAAAGAAAATTTTTTGCCTCCGGAACTATAATTCAAATTAACTTTTTTAAAAAAATTTTTGATCAATATTTAATAAAAAAATATTCTGCTTCTCATTATGTAAAAAAAAATTAATTTTTTAAACAATTTCTATTGTAAAATGGACATACGGGTTTCTAGTAGTGATAAATACAGACGAATAAAAGCACAAAGTCGCTTATGTTTTATTTCTCGGTAAACTTACTCGAGCTGAGCGGTGTCGTCCAGAGGAAAAAGATACATAAGCGACTTAATATAAAAGAACTAAGCCTGTGTAGTACAATTATCGCTTCTTTTCTTCTGTAAACTCGACTCACTGTCAGACCATTTTACAGAGGAAAAAGATACATAAAGACAGTCGAAAGAAAGTCGCTTCTTTTAGTCTGTAAAGTCAGCTCACTCTCAGGCTCCTTTACCGAGTAAGAATATACATAAGCGACTTTGTGTATCATTTTGTCCTGTAAGTTGGTGACGTATGCAGCGTCGTTTACCAAAATATGAACCCACAAAGTGTTTTATGTATCTTTTAACTCTGTATTTCGTCACTTTTTCCATTTTTGTCATTTTTAAACAATCTTTTTTTGCAATAAATAATTAAATATTTTAATTCTTTTTTACACAGTTAAATGCAGCTTTTTTTGTGAATCTAATGATACCAAAAACTCAATTTTTTCAAAAATGTCGCTTATGTATCTTTTTCCTCTGGACGGCAGAAAAAAGGTGGTGTTTTTGAGAAAATTGATCTTATTTATTTTCAGAAAATCATCCCCTATTTTTATCATTTTTAATATTTTTTCAAATTTCAAACTGGATTGTGAAGAGGACAAGACCATCTACAAAACCCAAGAAAGAAAATTAAATTATACTTAAAAGAAAAAAAATGACCAGCAAAACAATTTTTTTTCTATAACATAAAGTTAGTCGACCTGCCTGATTTGAAATGGATTTAGTCTACTGTGTGATTCTTGGAAAGTTTATGAATTGAAATTATTGTTATGGTCCAATTGGATGCATAAAACAAGAAACTTTCAATGAAATACCGAATAAAAATGAATTATTAAGTAGATTTAGCAAAATAATCAGAAAAAACAATAAAAATGAAATTGACCTTTTTAAAACTTGTGTAATAAATTTTTCGCGATAATATGAAAATTTCACTGTCTAAAGGAATCATAATAGAAGCAAAATCAAGCATTGTTGGTTAGTCAAAGAGTATTAAAAACAAAATAAAAATTATTTTCTAAAAAGTGCAAAAATCCCATGTTAATTAAATGGGAAAAGTATTGTTATTTAGGCAGGGTTAAACAGCATCGTAAAATTTTTTTCTAGTTTCTAGAATTGTTTTTAGGTCAAAAAGAAACGATTTTGACGATACCCAAATGAAAATAGCTAACTTGTGAAATAACGGACACCCTAATGTATATTGAAACAAAAATTTTCAATTTTTTAGTTCCGGAAAATTTACATTTATCAACTTAAAAAACATCTTAAATAACGAGATTCAAGCGATACTGGTTAATTTAAAATTTTTTTTTCTATATATTAAATTCGACATATTTAAGTTTTCATATCTGACTTTAAATTCGAATTCAGTAAATCCAAAAATCCCTTAATAGATATTTTCAGACAAATAAGTCAACTTTTAACAAATTTTGTGGTCATAGTAGTTCCACCATTTTAAGTTTTTAAATTCTGTTAGGATATTACATATACAAACTCTCGCCTTCAAAAAAATTTAATTTAATTATATTTAATGTATTTGAGGTTGGTGAATTTGATTTTTTTTTCATCAGAATTAATAAATTCAAAATGGCGGATTCAAATGTCGAACATTTTTTTTTTAAATTTTAATGTATTTTTCCATAAATGTATACTCGAGAGTCTTTAAAGTCACTGAATACAAATTTAATATAAGATTTTTTTACAAAATTAAAAATAGCAAATCGAATTGGGTTTACATATTTAAAGCACATTTTAAAATTGTTTAATTCGACATCAATTTTCAATTCAACAACTGTAAAAACTCCTGACTAATAAGTTTCTGGCAAATGTGGTTAATTTTTTAAATTGTTGTTCACCATATTGGATCCGACATTTTGAATTTTTCTAATCTGATAACAAAGCTGGATTCAGCTTCTTCAAAATCCCCCGAGTTACTAATTTTCACCAAAACGAATCAATTTTAAAATTTCTCCTCATACTGAGTTGTCATATTGGATTCGCCACTTTGTATTTTGTAAATCCGACATAAAATTTAGATTCAAACCGAATTGGGTTTAGTATTTTTTATTTATCGTGGACATATGTGGACCATGACACAATATTTTTTGGAAACTTTTTGTTTCAATCAATTTTATCTAGAAAATAATTTTTACTTTCTACAAAAGGGTGAAACTAGAATGATTACATTAAAAAATTAATGTCGATTGGAGGGGGAAGCAGGCAACAAGAATAGAAACGAGGAGACGAAAAATAAGGGGTAACGTCTCTCTAAACTCACGTTCTTTGAACTGACATTTTAACAAGAAGAATTCTTCGTGTACCGCCTTAAGGAAATTAGAATTCGACGGGTAAAAAAAGGAAAGAAAAAACCGGGCAAGTGCGAGTTTCACTCGCACTGAAATGGCGGGTTCCATACACTAATATTTAGATCATTTGGTACCAAAAAAAGTTATTCCAAAAAAAAATTTTTTTAAATTAAAAAAAAATTTTTTAAAAAGTTTCTTAAATAAATTTTTTGTCGTCAGACTGTAATAATATACTAGTATACCAATTTTCAGCTCATTAGGTTAAATAATGTAAAAGTTAGGGAAAAAAAAATTTTTTCATTAAATTTTTTAGTTTTTCCTTGACAACGCTACCATCAACTCCAATCACATTCGCTACATTTTTCCTGTAATCTACGAGTGAAAATACATATCTGGACCAAATTTGAGCTCTTTCGGTCAAATAGTTTAGCCGCAAGGGGGGGACATGATTTGGCTACGGACGCAAGAGTCTCACCAATAGGATTCCGTCGGTCCACCAACGGTGTACGGAACCCTAAAAATGAACTGAAAAAAAAATTGTAAAGAAGAATGGAGATGCACATTTTCCCCATCGCACCGGTGAGTTGCACTACTTGATAAAATGTCTCGAGGTCGAGTGATATACTGCAACGGTACAATGAAGGGAGGCACAATATCGCTTCATTAACAACTAATACCATAGACACAAGTACGTGGTAAACCTAACATCGTCGATCTGGTTAGTTTGTTGTGCGGAAGAGTGTGCTATATAGTATAGAGTGGTGTATTCGTTTCTCAAGCTTGCAAGACGGTGAAACGAACGACGCGTTTAATTAACACCTCGCCTCAACTCACGCGTACTCTGTAATTACCGTTCCTGTACTATTCAAGCAGTACCGTTTGGAATAAGAGAATGCGCCTTACTATATACAGTTTTATCTTTCAGTAATTGCATTTTCTGTAATTGCCAAGTGTTACTTTTAACAAACGATGACGAAATCCTATAACAGTTCATTGCACAATGAAAAGCCCTCCACTCATTCCTTTATTCCAATTTCCCTTTTACGTTCATAATAATTATTGCATCCAATTTCCCCCTTTTGTCATTACTCTTATTTCTTCAGCGCTAAAAGCTACTTTTCAAATGTTGTTGATTTCATTTTTCAAAAGGAAGCAAACGGTGTTGAATGAAAATCTGATAAACGTCTCACGTGTAGCATTTGAACGTTAGTTAACTCCAGTCTAGACATAAAGCCAACGACGTCGATCGACGTGGATAGAAAAACATGGGGGATTACAGAGCGGATTACGAAGAAGGTTGTCAGGACATGTGTATTTGAGTTTGCAATAAAACAGATTCTTGCGAGTTCATCGACCATCTTACATATGTCAATTGAGGGTAAGGAAAATTATTTTCATCAATATCAATTTGAAAATTAAATTTCAGGGATGGTAAATGGGTTGTTTTTTTCTATTTTTGTTGTGTGGTAACAGTGATAAAATGTCGGGTTACCTTAGTGTGTTATATGGCTGTAGGAAGCTGCGCTTGTCGATCGGCAGGTTCAATGAAATACGCGCGAGTGCACGACGGAAACATAAATTCGCAAGGGCGTTTACCAAGCTAGGAGAGGTATCGACTTCCTGCTGCTACTGCTCGAAAAGTTGATTTTATTAAGCGGCGGAAAAGAAAAACGAGTCCGTCTCTAACGGCTCTTCTAGGCCAAGGAATTTACCCAAAAGACGCTCGAATTGCGTATGTTCATCACGTATTGCACGCCGGAGGGCAACGTTTCTTAGACCGGTTTTTCTTTATTTTTTTTTCTTGAATGAAATTGGAAACATTTTTCAAAGACGCGTCTTACGTGTTCTCCAACGGTCTTCAAAAGATCACTGAAATCTGAAGCATAAATCCTTTCTATCTTGTGTATGGAAAATGGCTCAATTAAGTCGCAGACCAAGTTTGTCTGTGTAAATATAGATCTCTTTTTCTTTTATCTCTTTTTGTCTATTAAATTTTTTCCTCTTTTAATAAATTCTAGCGTGTACGTACACCTGAAAAAAGTGACCTACAGGAGCACGCTCTGGCAAGTAAAACGCTGCAGTTCTGAATCTGGCGTCATCAAGCAATCGTAAAGAAAACGTTACGAATTGGCACGCCACTAGTCTTCTGAATACTTTCTTAAAACCTCCGCATTCTAAACTCGAGTGCCGCGTTGGCTTGTGTAATCTGCTTTCGATGCATTTTTATTTTCGAAAATTCCCGCCATGCTCAGAGGGCAGGAAGGCGCCACCAGAGCGCGCGTGAGACTAACATGACCTACTTTTTTCAGAAGTTCATTGGATTTTTAGAACATTATTAGTATGTTTACTTATCATCGCCAAGACCAAAATTTTAGTTTCTAGAAAAATAAGTATGTAATACAAATGTGGGGTAAGTTAGAAACCTTTACTACTGAGAAAGTAGCCGGAGTATTTAATGGCCCCACAGTGGCCGTTAGATTACGTGGTGATGGTTACCATAGCAACTGTCGCTATGGTAATGGTTTCCATAGCAACCATTACTATGATAATGGTTACCATAGCAACTGGTTCCATAGTAACCGTTGCTATGACAATGGGTACCATGAAAATTGTTTTCATACCAACCGTTAAACAGATTTTACTACCTATATTTAATTTATTTCTTGGTTAATTGTTGCTATCTGATTGACCAATTCACAGTTTCTCTGAGGATTTTAGCTAAAGAATAAATCAGCTTTAAGAATCAGCACAAGTAAAGCAAAGAGAAAAAAAGAAAATAATATCTTGAAGTGAAAGGCAATTATTTATTTTATGACTCAGATTTGACTGAACTATTGTTCTTTTTTTGTTGCAATTATGTATAATTATAATTGAAAAATTGATTAAATATTGCCAAGAGGTAAGTAGAAGATGTAGGAATAAGTAGCGATTTGTCCTTTTTCTCTCCCTCTCCACCCTTTCTGGTATGTGAATAATTTTCTATAATAATTATCGAGTCCTGTCATCATGTATCATCATGAAAGAAGGAAGGAGCGAGTTTTGTTGCGTAGCGTCGTCGTCGTCGTTCGACCTGTTACGCAGAGTAAATTACTAGACCTCTCTTCTTCAATTACCCACCACCATCATCGTCGTAAAATCTGCCAACATGATTGATTAGCATGAGACGGCCAATCGTTAACTCAACAATTTTTCCTTTAAGTACCATACAACGTTGCCTTTGCGCACGTGTCAGGTGCTATCGACATGTATCGTGTTATACCGTCGCTTGAGGTGCTATCACCAAGTCACGCATTCAATTATTAAATATTGCCTCAGTAACAAAAAAAATATATAATCCAATTTCCATTAGCCTCGATTTTTTTTAATATTCAATAATAAAAGCGCATTTGTTTTTCACTTTCAATTATTCAAATTTTTAATTTCACTGACTGAGATTAAAATTTGCAGAATCACGTAGGGAGTATGACCCATAAATTCTTCTCATTTGTCACTTAAAACTAATTAGTATAAAAATAGAGAATCGAAAAAATGTTACCTTGCCAGTGTTGCTAGATTTGTAGAGTGGTCCCATGATGACCTGATCCGTAGGACATCCACGATAGTCAATAAGAACAATTTCACTGTTATCGACGGTATCTAAAGCGACCAATTGACGAACAAATATTTCATACGGACTCTGGGGATCGAGAATTTCGAATTTTAGTGCTAAAGGGTCACCAACTTCGGCCGAATTGACACCATCTTTTCCACTGCGATCTGTTATTCTCATGGCAACATTTGGTGAATCAACAATAACTTCCTCGTATAATGATGGAGTGACTTCGCCATGAACACCTAAATCAACTTCATTCGAGACAGTTTTATTACTCAAGTCATATTTGCAAGTAACAGCTAGACCCAGATCCGACCTCGTGATAATAGTGTCGTGATGCTGAATAACCACATCGTTAAGATATCGACCCAAACCCTGATGCTTTACATTGCACTCGAGATCGTCATACGCCATTCGTAACTCGAATTCCAAAACTCCCTTCACGTCCTTCATGCATGAATTTGGTGAACCCTTTGCGTATACCTTGCCATTAAACAGTTTACTCGTCTGTATCCTTGTCACCATATCTCCAGCCAGACAGTCAATTGTCACGTTGTAGCATGAACTCAACTCGTATGTTGATGCCTCTGGCACTTCTAGGTAGGGTTCCTGAAATGTTACATCGAACACAAAAATTTTTAATTAAACTTTTGAAAGTGTCATGAAGTTTTGGAAATATCGATTAAAAGAGAGAGAGAGAGAGAGAGAGAGAGAAATAGATACAGGTAGAGAGAGACTATTGAGTTGAATACTTTTGAAAAAAATAAAATAAACGGAAGATTTCGAATATTTTTTCCGTCATATTGGATTAATCTTTTTAAAATTTTTCAAATTGGACTTTATATTCGTAATTAGTGACCTCAAAAACCGAAAGATATAAAATTTTATGTAATTTTGATTAAAATTACTTTTCCTTTACACTATATTGGATATACCATTTTAAATGTTATAGATTTTAATTTGTATTTTTAATCAACGACCTCAAAAGCTCGGGAATGGACAGTTTTCTGGATTTTATAGAAAATACAAATTTTTATATAGTTTTTTTACTATTCGTAAACTGTCATGCGTCTTCATTAAAATAAAAATTCCCCTATACGCCATTTTGGATCCGCCATTTTCAATTCTAGTATTAAATTATAAACATAATCAGTATTAAGTTTCTCAGATTCGATACTAAAACTAACAATAAAAATTCCAGAAATTTCTACAGTTTTTGGCTCTAAAAAGAAAGAATAAAGAATTTTTCAAAAAATTGCTCGACAGATTATAATCATACGTCTCTTTTTCTTCTTTTTTTTGTCTTTTTATCCCACTTTCATGAATACGTGTGTGTTCCTTCATTATCTTCTTTTCTATACATAGTGAAATCCCCCTCTGAAATACGCGACAACGAGGTTTCAACAGGTTGGCGAGAACAAGATTTTCTCTTTTGTTCTTTTGCAGGCGCTACAAAGGCGACCCTAGTGAATGTTCGAACTGCACTTGCAGAAGGGTGTTGTGGGGGTTGTAGGAGGGTTGATACGGAAAACGTGTGCAATAGAAACTCGATTTCGGACCAAAAATACCACTTTAGACGCAATGCACTTTAAATGCATTTTAATTTTAATCTACTTTCACATCATGACTGTAATCAAATTTATCATCATCGATCGTTTTTGCAACATTTTCGGCAAACTAATTTTACGTTTTGATAAACATATAAACACTGATTATGTATATTGCTTTATATTAATTATCGATGGATTACAAAATTGGAAAGTCTTTTTTATAGATTTTGGTTTGTTACTATTTTAACAAGAATAGTATTTTTACGTTATATACTTGCAAGTTAGTTATAACTTCAATTAGTATTAGTTGTAATTAATTATGTCTCCACAATTTAAATGTTACAAATGGCAATTGCAGTCTCTTATCAATCTCATATTTAAAGACGAGAATAAGTACTAACTTCAATTAGTAATTGCGTTATTTAAAAATAATTTTAGCAAGTAGTCAGTGATTTTTATTTGATTAATAGAATTTACTGAATTTAGTTTAGTAAGAATAGCTGGTGCAGAGTTGGCACAAAAATTGTACTATATTTTTCCCTGACATTTCTCTGATTTCCAGACAAAATTTTGACATTTACCCTGACCGTAAAAAATATTCTGACTCACTCTAAAAATGTTTAGATACTGAAAAATAACTAAAATTCTTCTTTAAATTAATTATTTACAATAATTTAAAAAAAATTGTTTGAGAATATTCAAATCCATTTGTTTACAATTCAATTTAACAAAATTTCGATTATTTGAAAATTCTTCAAAAATATATATATTAGAAAATAAAAACTTCAAATAATAAACAAAAAATTTCACATAAACTTTTCAAAAAAATTGATTCTACAGAATTGATAGTAAAAAGTATGAAACATTCAAATTTTTAAAAATTTTAATTTGAAACCTTCTCAAAATTCAATTATTTCTAAAAGTTTATGCTATAACGCTTTTAAGGGGAGGGACCGGTGAAATTTCAACCCATCGATAATTACGTTTTTAAAAAGGGACAATTTTTTTTCTGGCATTATTTATGATCTAAGTTTATTCTATATTAGTTAAAATAAAAAAAAAAATTTTCAGACATTTTGAAAATTTTATTTTTTGAAAAAATTGAAATTTTTTAAAATTGATACGATTGATTATTCAGAATTGTAAGAAAAGCCTACAAAAAATTTGGCAACGAAAAATAATAAAAAATGTGTAAGTAGTTGGATTTTTTAAAAGCTACACTGAGAAAACTGGAGTATTGGACTAAACATCTGGAGGGACAAATCGTTGATATTTGAGAGTTAGCTATTGGATACCAATCTAAATGTTCAAATACACCATTGACAGATATTCGTGCCATTTCTCTTGGAGGAAAAATGAGTTTATAACAGAGGGATAAATTAACCATCTTGAGAAATCCCTTCCTTATCCGGCGCGAAATGAATAAATATGGCAACCTAACCCCCAAAATTAAATACATAAAATGTCAGAAAAATAATTTCGCGCGCATCAGATCGTACACATTTTCTGCGCAACTTTTAACCCTCAGATATAATGGGAGAGAATATACAAGTAGATTTCCATTATCAATTCAAAATTTATTTTAGAAGGACTATTTAACTCTCTTCATAAGCAAAGGAAACATACACTTTTTGAACCTCTGAATTTGACTCTCCAGTTTTCTCAGTGTACTAGTAAAATTTGAGCCAATCAAAAATTACCATTTTTAGGGGTATCCAAATTTTTTTCCAATTTTTCAGTACCTAAAATCATATTACACTATAGAAAATTAATAAAAGTAATTTTTAACTGATTTACAATTTTTTTTTATTTTTCAAAAAATTTGATTTTTCGAAAAAATTAAAATTTTTGAAAATCCGTACAATTGATTGTTTAGAATTATGAAATAAGTATATAAAAAAATCGGCAAAAAATATTAATAAAAATTACAAGAGTAGTTCAAATTTTTATTTTTTGAAAATTTTGATATTTATTTAAAAAGTTTTTAACTAATTAAAGTTTTTTTTAATTTTTCGAAGCATATTATAATTTAAAATACAAAAATTTGTTAGAAAAAATATTAACCATCCATAAACAACAAAAATTTAAATGAGTTGAAATTTCACCGGTTCCTCCCCTTAATATTCTATTATTATCTAAAATTTTAACTAAAATTCATTTTTAAATCAATTTTTATTAGAAGATTTTACGAGAATTCAATTATTTAAGTATAAAAATAAATAATTTATTGAATAATTGAACGTTTCTTAAAATTGAATTCTCATAAAGAGTTTTATCAACAAATTTTTAATTAAATAATTAAATTACTTCCTCATAGAGGAAGTATTCTGCCGTCCTGATTTAAAAACACCATATCTACACTTTTTATCAAAAATGAGTTTTTTATAAAACAAAAAAAAAAGACGAATTTTTCTATGCTAATTAGAATTATTAATCTTAATTAATTTTCGAGTTAATTAGGAGTTAATTTTACTAAAAAGCACTATCTACATCGATTTCCGACTAATCCTGATGTCAAGTGGCCTAACTACAGGCCTAACTACAGTTTATGAGGATTTCAGGTCGTTTGACCAGTGATTTCCTGATGAACAAGGCCTATCTACGTAGTTATGGTTTTTTTAGATCAGGAACTCGAGCTTTGTAGAGGCTACTTTCCTGATGGACTTGAGCTGTTTCTCCATGTTAAAAAGCATATCTGCGTAGATATGCTTTTTAGTAAGGATTCGCCGCGATTTTTCACTTTATTAATTAGCACATTTACAGTTTTGCATGTTTGCAATGAAAAATTGAAAGTTTTTTTTTGCATAATAAAATTCAGCGTACCCGAATTACTCAAGAAGCATCACTACCTTTTGAAAAAACATTATGTTAAAGAAAGTATAAATAAAAACGTATTTTGTCAAATATCTCGAAACAACCCAAAATGTAGATATGGTGTTTTTAAATCAGGACGGCAGTATTGTAATACCAAAATTTTTCGATTTCGATTTTTTGACATATCTTTATGTTATTTGACCTCAGGAGTTCAAAAATGACATTTTTAAAAAATGTCATTCCGTATGTGTGTGTGAGTGTGTGTGTGTAAACATCACATTTACATAAATATCTCGAAATCATGAATTTTTTTCATCATGACTTTGAAATACTCTTGAACAATATTTTTAATGCCCAGAATTAGTTTTATAAAATTTTAGTAAAAAATTAATAGTAATAATTAATAGTATTTGAATTTCTATTCTATTTCGATAAATAATATGAACCACAGACATATAATCAAATAGAAAAAGATTGACCACCTAAAATTCTGAAACATCAAAAGAAAAGAGTCATATAGACGAAGCTATCAAAGAATTTGCACGAATTGAAGCAGAAATAATGACATTGAAAAAATTATTTTCTTAAAGTAAGTCGAACTTTTGTCTTAATAAAACTTTTACAATGTTTCTTGAACAAAAAGTTAAAAAAAAAATTTGTAAACGTAAAATATTGTTTTTTCAGTAAAAAACAGTTTTTTCCTTCAAATCGTTGATGACAAACGTTGTGAACTTCACCCACGTCATTTATAAGTGTTATCAAATTAAACTTAAGCAGTGCATTTTTTGTAACCTCTTATTATGTCTATTCTTAAAACCTGGAAATGTCAAGGAGATTTTTTTTAGATTAGTTGTAGACATCCTGCACTTTCCCTGACTTCCCTGACCTGTGTCAACCTGTGAGTTTAGTTAGATTAAAATTTATTTCACTTTTGATGGATTTGGATTTATAAGGATGTGATTTCTTTACTATTAAACAGCAACAGATGTTTCCCTCATAATTAATAATTAATGGTAACCGTTAGAATATGATTTGTAAATAAACGCTATACGGTATTTTGACGCAGCAATCGTTATCAATGAAGTTATAAAAGAATTTTGCATAAAAGTAATCTACATAGCGCGGATCTAGACTTGAATTATGGATGATGTGATGCACTTTTAATAGTTGGGACTTTACTGAAATCGCGGAAGTTGAAGCCCTGGTATTTTAAAATCAGAACGGAGAATCTTGGAGAACGTATACAATCAAAGAAGAAGGAGAAAAAGAAAAAGAAGAAGAAGTTGAAGAAGTTAAAATAGAATATAGAAAGAGAGAGAAGAGTTGTTTCCGGATACCAACCTGAATGTCGGAGAGGGTTGCTCTTGAATGGTGACTGAGACGACACACCATATCGCCGGTATCACCATAATCGTACGAGTGACAGCGGAATGGTGAACTCAAGCACAGGTCACGACACTCATCAATGTTTGTAACGTCTTGATGGACCGAGTCAACAGTCTTGAGAATGCGACCTGTAATTTTCTTGAAATCGCACAATTTTGACGGTTCGTTCACACAATGATTTTCCAAGTAATCAACTCCTTTTGCCACTTCTAATGCATCAGATCCGGCAACTGTTAATCTATCCATGTCCGAGAGTTCACACTCTTTCGTTGCGTTCACATAGTTTGCTGATCTGGAAAAAGCAAAAAAACGAGAAACAATTACACATTTGAATTCTTATTGCCAACCGGATATATTAAAGAGATAAAGAAGAAGTAGAAAAACTGGTATGGAAAGAATAGACACGCACATCCTTTACGAAAAATTGGAATTATCATTTATTATGTGTCACTTCTTTTATCTCTCTCTATTTAATTCTGAAATTGTCCCTCCATTTCTCTTTCAACTTTTTTTCTACCTTTCCTGTTCGTCTCTCCTGTAATTGTTAAGATTCCTCTATTATTCCTCTACTGTAATCTCTTGATTATAGGAATGAATCTTCCTTTTTGTCAAGGGTCGATTAATCTTTTAAAAATGATAGAGAATAGGACATTTTGGACGCATTTGAAAAATGATGAGACTAGAATTTTAACGTGTGGAACAATTTAATTAAACTGATTAATTATTCGCGAATGAAATTCTCAGAGGTGTGCGGAAAATAATAAATATTCGAATTTGTATCTGTTGGAGTTCTTTTTTAGATGAAAAAAAGTAATTAGCGTATGTAAGAAATTTGCGAATGTAAAATCAAAAATAATTCCATCAATGTTGACACTAATTGCAGAAAGTACTGATTAAAGATAATAATCAGTAATATCTTCTATCGGAGACATTCACAATCAGTTATAACTTTAATGTTTCTTAGCTTCAAATATTCGTATTTTGAAACAGTGATATTCTTCGTTCGATACTGACTCGAAACAGACTAAAGTAACTGATTGTCGGTAAATTCTTGAGCAGTAGAAGTTACTAATTACTGATTATGGATAAAAAAGGACTGATTGTCAGTGAAATTTTACCGTTTTTCATTATTAACAGCATGTGATTGTTACAGAATTTAATGTTAATTTTTTCGACCACTTTTCTCTTAAAATATTAAATAAATTAAGCTAGTTTTTTGTGAATAACTCTAAAATATCATCAAGAAGGGCAGTGATGTGAAAAAGTTTTAATATTTTTAAAATTATTTATTAAAATATAACTTTAAGAGTTATATTCACAAAAAACTAGCTTAATTTATTTAATATTTTAAGAGAAAAGTGGTCGAAAAAATTAACATTGATTTCTGTAACAGTCACATGCAGTTAATCAGTTATTTTTCCCTGCCAGTGAGTTATGATTAACTGACAAATAGTCATCCTTTACTGACAATCAGTCGGGCTTAACTGATAATTTGTCATTTTTAACTATACGTGCAGAAGAAATATTACCATCGGAATCAGTAATTGTCTTTTTGCTTTCCTGTCAATTCCTTTTAACTAATTTAAACTGAAAGATTGAAATTCTCAGATATGTGTAAAAAAATAATAAATATTCGAATTTGTAATAGTTGGAAGTTATTTCAGCAAAGAAAAAAGCAATTAGCTGAAAATAAAATCAAAAGGAGAACTGGTGGTTTATTTAATTCATCAATGGGATTCTTACCGAGTCTAATTTGCAAAATCGTGCACGCTATATATAAGCGAAACATGTTTGTCGCGTTCAAACGTAATGCAAATATATTACGACAGTTTTCAATGTTCTGTGATGTGAGAGTGCACATACGTGTATATATATATATATATATATATATATACACATGCATGTCTCTCGCGTGTTTCAGGTTAAAAGCTCGCGTGCATTTCGTGATTCAGAATGAAAAATAAATATAGGAAAAAAAAGACGAAGTAAAAAATCAATTCGTATCGAGCGGACTTGATACTTTTATCAAAACCCAGTTCAACAACGTTTTCTTTATACAATCCGATATAAAATGACGTAATGAGATTTAAAAATCCGCCAATCAAGTATTTCTTTTTTATTGCTTCATTTTATAGTCTATCTAATCTTGTAATAAATTTTCTGATAGAAACTAATTAAAAGTAGGTTGAATAATTTAGAACTGTCGCTTCCTTAATTGCAACTAATCACAGAAAATAGTCATTATTCCTGACAACATGCCGGATGTTAAAGTCTCCTCCCCCCACTCTTCATCCCATCAACAAATGAGTGTAATTTGTTTAGTAAAACGCACGCTTGATATTCTTCCAGACATGTTTTCAGAGTCATTTCTAATTCGTGTTTGTCATCCCACGCTGTTATTTATATTTATATATTATAATATGGTCAATTATCTTTTTCACTATCGAAAACTATTTCAACAAATAAGGGACTTATCAAAAAAGGCTAATTTTTGAAAATTATATTTTTAGAACACCTTTTTTTGTTGTGAGGAATGTGCCAGGGTAGGTTAAAAAAAAGGGAAAAAATGCGTTAGGCAATTACTTTTAACCGCAGTTTATTACTCTGCAATCACGCGTGGTTAGTTGAGGACTAAACGGAACTAATCAAAGAACAATCGAGAAGACGCTAATTCCTCTGTGTGAGATCAGTAGGAGTTGCGAAAGCAGCCCACGGAGGCTGTTAAAGCAAGAAGCTCGCTCACGATCTGACAATTTTGCTCGTGACCAGTTTCACGCGATCGAGTCAATAATTTCCTTGTGATTTATTAGATACTTTCAAAGCACAAATGTGTGTGTATACATTTTCACAGATTTACCATTTTTCATCACTGAATTTCTAGTTATAGCTACTGTGATTCTCCATTACGAATCCATTTATCATATTTAATTAATTCAATATGCTTCATTGCTGTTTTTTACCGAAATTAAAATGCATAGATAAGTCAGGTGTGCTTCTTCTTCTTCGTCGTCATCATCGTCACAAGTTCTTTAAGTCGACAGATTTCTGGACAAAAATTTATTCCGCGTCGCTCTATCGATTAAGGATTATATTGCTTTAAGACCTGAATAATATTCATGAACGCCCCGTTATGATTTCAATATATTCTCATTCGCGAAGAAGTCGAAAAATCACCGTGAGTTTTATATACCGTTTGCCAATAAATCGAATTGCATAATCCACTATCTGCTGTTTTTTTTTTTTTTTTTTTTTTTTTGAAGGGGGGTAAGGGGAATTTTCTTCCCCTCGTGCTGTATATCAATGACACTTGAGTAAATTGGTCTTGATTCTTCGTTTAGATTTTTTGCGATGAACGATATTTGATAATTGAATAATGAAGTTCGTTGAGTGACTAATGCTGGAGGTAATTCAGTTTTAATTTCGTCTCAAGGATTTTCGTAATTTTCAGTAGTGGAATGTTCATGTTAGATGAATTTAAAGAGTCAAGTGGGATATTGAAAAAAAGCGTCTACAATCTCTAATAGCTTCAATTAGAGGTGGTTTTAATTAAAAATAGCTTTAGATTGTTATAGCTTTAATTAGTGATTGTAATAATTAACAGTAGGTAACTACTGCTAATCGGTACAATCTATAATCAAAGTATAACATTGTTTCAAAGAATCAGATTGATACAATTTATAAATGGTACTTGCTTCTTAGTAACTGTTTCAATCAGTATGTTGAAGGGGTAAAGAAGGTAAGGAAGGTAAAGAAGGTAAGGAATGTAAAGATGATGAATTAATCCTAAATCATACGATCAGAGATATTAATAATTATGGATATTATTAATTAATGTTAATTGCTGTCAGTGGTTAATGATAATTTCATTCACTGCTAGCTTCAGTCAGTGTCGTTTATGACTACACTGAGAGAAGTCCGGGAACTAATACGTCCCGTGCGAGGCTTGAGTGATAATTTTGAATGTTCTTATGTGAACCCTCGATCGGGACGTCTCAAGCCCCGATAAAAAACGTGTAACGTCTCGAAGCAGGATTACTTACAACTTTTAGTTTCGGCCACGAGTTGTTCTCTCACATGCGGGAACAATGTTTGATGGATTCGGATCGTCCGAGCCCTAGATTCGAAACATCTCAAAAGCGACAAGCAGGAGTAGCGCATAGCGACGTCTAGCGGGAACTATTACGCCCTGGACTTCTCTCAGTGTAGGGTTAGTTTCAATTAGTATTAATTACCATCAGTGATAGCAGGATTTGTTTCAATTTAATGTTGATTACAATTAGTGGTAGCATTAATTAGTGTTAATTATAATAATCCATTAATAACATTAATTTCCATTAATAACAATCAGTATTTTTTAAAATAAATTTTAGTCACAATCAGCGATAGTTTCTGTAAGTGTTAATTGTAATCTGCTGTAGCTTCAAACACTTTTATTGATCATCAGTGAAATCTGTAATTAGTGTTAGATAATAATCAGTTTTGATCAATATCACTCCAATTAGTTTGATTTACAATACAGTGATCTCTTTAATAATTTAGTGATGACTATTAGTGATACTATGAATTAGTACTATTTTCAATCTGTTCAATGAATTATTTAACAAAGCAATTTATCTTACTAAATTAATTGTACCTTAAATTTGTAACTATCGTGTATTAATCATGTTAACTGATTGTTAAAATGTACTTGTAATCTGATAAATTTGAAGAAGGTCAGGAAAGTGGGATAACTGTAAAAGCATCAACTACAAACATTTTATAAAAGGTACGCGCATTTCGAGCATCCTGCAAATTTCAAGACATTCTCTCGGATTTTACTGTTTCTCACGTTTCTCATGAATAACGTATTATAACGTTTCTACGCTGAGAAAAAATTCATTGATTCAATCTGCTCGATTGAATTATAAAATATGTGCTTTAGAAAATCATGATTCGTTTACATTTAAGTGCATTTTTTACTCATTTGGTGGAACATTTCAACCCTTCTTGTTTGTAGTCATAGTTTAGCTTTGGAAATACTTTCAAGGTCAATTAATGTTTTTCTTTTTATAATATCTTCGATACTGTAGAGATTTGTGCTGATATGAGAGCAACAAAAATGATGCGGGCGACCCGTTTTAGGAGAAACGATATAAGGCACAGATAACGTGTATTCTTGATGATACGGATTAAAGTTACAAGCAAAATCCGATTTGATATCTCTCTTGCGGTAAATAATTAATGGTAAAAAAAGGGGTACGTATACTCAAGACCCGTTCACAGAATACTACGAGGGAAAAAAATAAATACCGC